GTGTGTGTGTGTGTGTGTGTGTGTGTGTGTGTGTGTTAGAATATTTTTATTCAGAATTGCAGCTGTTGTTGCCATGTTCTTGTCCTTGTTGCTATGGATTTTTGGTTCATGTCTGTGCATGCCGGTATCTGATTTGTTAGTTCAGAATAGAGAGTCAATTGATAAAAGTATTTAGGGGTGGTGGGCAGATGTTGCAGTTTAATACAAAAGCTAGTTATTGAGCTTCCCAGACATGTACCAGTACAATCCTGTTAATCACTAATGATTTGCAAAAAAGGGTCTAACCTCAACATTGAGCTGGCAAATTTAAATAGAAACAGCTTCTTAGATTCCTTGTGCAGGCTCATGCTGTTGCAGGGTTACTTTGCCCAAAAAAGGTACAGATAATGTTTTCCTCAAAATTTTCATGGGCAGCAGAGTTGACACCAAGTAATACTTGTAACAATAATAGTAATTTTGTGCTTTCACTGGAATATGGAAAGTGCAAGCGAATAACAATAGAAATGGAACTGTAGAAGAAATTCAATTTCAATTCTTAATCTTTATAATTATTTCAAAACACAACAACAATAAGCAGTAATGTAAATGTACTATTTCATGGTCAGCAGTTCTAAATTATGTTCTGACTATGTATATTTATGCCACCTGGGTATGTTGAAATGCATTCAAATTATAGAACACTTTTATTCTTGGCCAGAATGTTGCACAAATGAAACCATAATTCCATTTTATGTATAACCCAGTGGCTGAGGATAGCTGCCTGACTAAGAGACTTGTTCAATAACCAGATATCTCTGTTTTGATTTTGAAGTCCTAAATAGTTGGAGCTCAGGGTGTTTCAGAGATCATGGTTTCTTCTCCCCAGCTTCTTACAAATGGTGGGCTTGAAATTTCAATAGTCCTGAAGCTCTTCTCTAAAATTCTCAATTTCTTTCTATAAGGTATCATGAAAATGTCACCTTTGATTCATTTTTGTTGCTTCCCTTATTAATTTTATTAGTGTAACTAATTATACAGTTAGTATTTTATTGGTACAGTAATATTTATAATTTTGAAGACATGGCCTCATGTCCAAAGATATAAATTAAGTTGGTAAGTAGTCAATATGTTTCTAAGAGGCTTCTAAATTAAGGTGTAATCTCAGGACCAGACCTTTACTTTCAGTGTGCGCTAATCACATGTTTCATCTTAATCCTATCCTTTGGATTTGTCCAAATGTCCATGTGATCATGTTGCTTTCATTGTATTTAGTAACCTGCTAATGTTTAGAATAGAGGTGTATAGCTGGAGTAATGGGCATTTTGTTAACACCACTTTATGTTTATCTAATATTCATTTCTTGTTTTAGATAGTGTGAACATGCTAGCATTAAAATAGACTTTCTCTTCTTCACCTAGGAATTTTTGCATTCAAGTGCTCAAGAGCTGAAGAGATATTTAATTTGCTGCAGGATCTGATGCAGTGTAATAGTATCAGTGTGGTGGAGGAACCTGTTGTCATTACAAGGAATGCAGCTGAACTGGAACTATCCCGGACTCCCCAGACACCCGATAGTGAGACCATCTTACAAACCGGAAGAGATAGGGGAATGTTAAGCTTTACTCTAGACCAGGGGTGTCAAACTCAAGGCCTGTGGGGCCATATCCAGCCCACGATGTCAGATCCGGCCCGCAGAGCCGTCCTGGAAAATGTAAGGGGCTGACCTGCGTCTCTTTGGCCTGGTCTACCCAATGCAAAGAGGAAACATTGGGGCAGCATGGCTTCAGCCCAGTCTTCCCAGTGCAAAGAGGAAACATGCCAGCAGCTTGGGGAGTGGCATCAAGCTGGCCACATCTAGTCAGCAACACCCACTGAGTCGCCCACGCCCACCTGGTCCCCTGAGGTCAACCGCAGCCCTGATGTGGCCCTCAATGAAATTGAGTTTGACATTCCTGCTCTAGACCATTTCTTCTTGGTGTCTCAAAGGTTCTTTTTTCTTCAAAAGACAACTGGACTCTTTTTTCCTTGTGGAAGAAGAGGAAAAATCTTTTGCTTTTCATCCAAGAAGTTTCATAAGTTCTGATGGTGTGGGGATGGAAGGATAGGTTCTGATAGGATGGTGGGGGATGGAAGGATTGTATTTCTTTGCAGTCATCTGTTCGTTAGCACTCTCTGAGAGCTGTTGAGGCCACTTGGGAGTTTATGTGTGCCCTCAGGACCACCTGAATCAGGGTGCAATTGGTTGTGGAACCTTCCATCCCCCTGCCATCAGACCTTATGAAGCTTCTTGGATGAGAAGTGAAACATCTTCCTCAAGGAAAAAACAGTCCAGTTGCCTTTTGAAGAAAAACACACCTTTGATATAATTATGACCTGGATGACTGAGAATCTCCACAGACATTTCTTCTTGGTTAGAATGTTTTGTTTTGATAGGAATTTGAATATTTGTATGAGGCGAAACCATTCTTTAAGTATGTGCCAAACATTTATACCCTATTTTATTTAAAATATTATAGATTTTTGGCCCTGTTTTGAGTCAGTGTTGAGTTGCTCATTCTTTCCATTGCCAGCTCACAGTTGAAGCCATAATGTCAATCCACTTTTATAATGCAGATGTAATATGTTTATAGTATTGGGCATTTCTAATTTATGCAAGAGAGTCATGCCTTGTTTCCATATGATTTTTCTCTGAACTGGGGCTACTTGAAGGCTCAAAACATTTGCAACAGTTATATCAACCTGTTTCATCTCCAGGTAGATATTGTTAATTACTTAATGATCTGGTCTCATAAAATCAGCTCTACTCTTCATTCATGTCTTTTGCTTATTGCAAAGTTTTAAGTTTTATGTGAGCTTGTTGCTTTTTTTCTAAGGCAACCAAACACAATGATCAGATATGTTTATGTTTCCAGTAAAATATCACCAAAACTACTGTTAAAAAGTATGCATGAGAAGTAGGAAGATTACTGTTTGATTTGGTTATCTTGACCTTTGATTTATTTTGTACTTAGATTTGAGATAGGGCCTTTAGCCCAGTTTTTATAATTGTTTTGCCTCATTACAGTAGAGAACTTCATCATACAATTTGGGTCCATTAGCCTATTAGCAAAGTATTTTAGGTATCTTTGGTAAATGTGTATAGTTTTGTGTAAAGCTAATTGTGCTCCCATTTTTCATTTTTTAAAATATATAGTCCCAGGCTTTCCTAATGGGTTCCACAACTTCCCTATGGAACCTTCATCTTGCCCTGCAGCTTGCCATGCACCCATGAGTAGTCTAAGGCATTCTTCCATTGGGGAGGATGGTACACATGCTCTTATTATCCCTGATGGGCAAGTAAGTATTGCATATGAACTAGAACACTGCAGCAATTAATACTGTCTCAATTAATTATAACTATGCCAGTGAATGCTGTTATAGGAAAATAGGCATCCGTTATTTTTTTTACTTATGTAGCACTAAGTTTCTAACTTTGATTTTCAGAAAAAAACTCTTATTGAGAAGATGTATTCATTCCCAGTTATGAGAAAGTCACAATAATAATAATACCTTCTCATTGCATAGGGTATTGATCATTTTACCTTCATCTACCCTCAAATAAAAAAGGCTAGAATGGGTTTTTCAATACACTCTACATTGTTTTCTTGATTAAACAAGAATTGGGGTGATTGTCTCCCCCCCCCCCACTGCATACAGGTAGTCCTTGTCTTAAGGCCACAATTGAGCCCCAAACTTCCACTGCTAAGTGAGGCAGTTATTAAGTGAATTTCGCCCCATTTTACAACCTTTCTTGGCGTGGTTTTTAAGTGAATCAGTGCAATTGTTAAATTAGGAAGATAGCTGTTAAGTGAATCTGGGTTGTCTTTGCTTGTTAGAAGATCGCAAAAGTGATCACATGACCCTGGGACACTGCAGCCATCATAAATACATCCCAGTTGCCAAGCATCTGAATTTTGATCATGTGACCATATGCAGCAATGGTTGTAACAGTTGCAAGAAAAAGTATGTGAATCTCTTGGAATTACGTGGAGTTTTGCATGAATTGGTCATAAAATGTGCTNCACTCTGAGTCCATTGACTAGGGCAGTGTTTCCCAACCTTGGCAACTTGAAGATGTCCGGACTTCAACTCCCAGAATTCCCCAGCCAGCCAGCTGGCTGGGGAATTCTGGGAGTTGAAGTCCGGACATCCTCAAATTGCCAAGGTTGGGAAACACTGGACTAGGGAATTCTGGGAACTCAAGTCCACACATCTTAAAATTGCCAAGGCAGAAAAACATTGCTCGAAAGCATTTCACCATTGAATTAAGAAAAAATGACTGCCTCAAGGAGACGTAGTTGGGCTGATGTAACTTCCTGAATAAGCCACACTACTAGTTTGTAACTCCACTGTCTATTTATACACTGTTTAGTGTTTATACTAGTAGCTCCTGACAATTGGCTTTGGTTTCTACAGGTGACAAATGTTGATGATGAGGGCAATGAGCTGGGCTCAGGGATTATGGAATTGACACAGAGGGAGCTTGTTTTGCACACTCATAAGCGCGACGCAGTTCGGTGGCCGTACCTTTGCTTGCGCCGCTATGGCTATGATTCCAACCTTTTCTCCTTTGAAAGTGGACGTCGCTGCCTGACTGGACAGGGTACGTACATTTCTCCCCAAGGAGCAGGAGAGCTGTTAACTTGGGATAGCATCTAGTTTCTCTCCTCATAGGATGTTATAAATCTGCTTCAGAAATAGACACAATCTTCTAATATGACACTTTAAGGAAATTCACATTTTTGTTTTCATATAAATATTAGTGAGAGAACATTTTTTTAAAAGCCTTATTTAGTCCAGCTTTCTGCTTCATGAATCCCAACTGTATATTAATGGAAAGTCTAAATATCTTGTATTCAGGTTTCTAGCGCCTCTCACATTAACAGCATTGAAGGAATATTCTGGCCAATACTCTCCGATAGTCATTTAGATCCATATTGTTTTGTCTGTGGTGAGATGTGCAAGGTTGGGAATAACTCTGAGATCATTTAAATCTTTGTTACATTAAGAATAGTTAGATTATATTATGAATAGTAACATTTTTAAAAACAGAAGCATATCTAATCCAGATTAAAATTCCAATCTAAATCTAGCAGGGTTGGGATTAAATCACTAGCTAGACTTCTGAGCTGATATAGCAAGGTCATTTTATATTTTCTTGCTTATTTTGTTATTAAATCCAGGCACCTCTGCATCTTGTGGAACGATGTGGCATCAATTTTCTCTTATAACATCATAATGCCATTTTTGCATTTATCTATCCTATGCATCATTTCACATGTGTAGATAGTCCTCAAGTTAAGATGGCAGTTAGGACCAGAATTTATTTCTCTAGAGATGCAGTTGTAAAGCTTAAGCTCTAATTGATGCAGCCCCAATCTGTGGCCCCATTTCTTTCCAATGGCAGTCCTAATACTCCCTATTGTCATTATTAACAACCTCTACTTGTTAGCCAAGGGCCTATCCCAATCCAAGCCATTCCCAGCTTGGCTTCCCCCAGCCCCAACCTCATCCAAGGTAAGAGAATGCCTTCCATTCAACTCCCCCTAACTGCCTATTCCCCCCAATTCTGCCCTTTTGGCCCTCTGCACTCTGCTTTGTAAAGCAGCAAGACATCCTAAAATTGCACGATTGGGGGTGTGTGTGCTTGTTGTGATGCTGCTCAGGGGTTACTTTGCACACTGTATTTCTATGGCTGCAAGAAGCCCCAGCCTAAACCAGCCCCAGCCACTCTTGCCCCCCTGCATTCTGAGGCCCTTAGTGCCCTGTACTTCACCATTCCCAACTAACCACCTGTATCTTGCTCCCAATTCCGATGAGGTTTGCCTGACCCTTTGCAAGGCAGCTGCTGGCCACATGAGGACTTCCTCCCCCAGGTCTGAGGAAACTGCCACATGTGACCTCAGAAAGGAAGCCTTGTGTGGCCAGCAGCTGCCTTGCAGAGCTATGGAGCTCAGGGGCCCAAAGGGCAAAGATGGGGAAGTAGGCAGGGGAAGGAGTTGAAGACTCCCTGCGATTGTAAAAGTGGGCAGGCTATCAAGTGACCGATTTTGATTGTGTGACCGCAGGAATGCTACCACAGCCATAATTTCAGGGATCAGGCATATATACCATTTTTTCAGTGCCACTGTAACATAGTTGTTGAACAGATGGTCATAAGTTGAGGACTACCCATAATGTGATATTTTGACTTTGATAGGAATAGTACCTAGCTGGCTGCCTATTTATAACCCATTGTTTGTTCACCACTGGCATTTGTGCCAGCAGTGTGATCTTTATGTTACAGATGAAATAGAAAAAAAATCCAAAAGGCTTTGAGCCAAAAGCAGATTTGATATTCAATGGTTGTAAGATTCATTATTTCCCTTGTATTATATGAATGTTCTTTGATTCCTTTCACATTCTTTTCTCTCATGGTTGGATTTTAAAGCTTATTTCACTTGAACGATCATTCTTAATATCAGGAAGATAGGACAGAAAATGTGTAGGATCTGTTGACGTGTGTGTGTGTGTGTGTGTGTGTGTGTGTGTGTGTGTGTGTTAGAATATTTTTATTCAGAATTGCAGCTGTTGTTGCCATGTTCTTGTCCTTGTTGCTATGGATTTTTGGTTCATGTCTGTGCATGCCGGTATCTGATTTGTTAGTTCAGAATAGAGAGTCAATTGATAAAAGTATTTAGGGGTGGTGGGCAGATGTTGCAGTTTAATACAAAAGCTAGTTATTGAGCTTCCCAGACATGTACCAGTACAATCCTGTTAATCACTAATGATTTGCAAAAAAGGGTCTAACCTCAACATTGAGCTGGCAAATTTAAATAGAAACAGCTTCTTAGATTCCTTGTGCAGGCTCATGCTGTTGCAGGGTTACTTTGCCCAAAAAAGGTACAGATAATGTTTTCCTCAAAATTTTCATGGGCAGCAGAGTTGACACCAAGTAATACTTGTAACAATAATAGTAATTTTGTGCTTTCACTGGAATATGGAAAGTGCAAGCGAATAACAATAGAAATGGAACTGTAGAAGAAATTCAATTTCAATTCTTAATCTTTATAATTATTTCAAAACACAACAACAATAAGCAGTAATGTAAATGTACTATTTCATGGTCAGCAGTTCTAAATTATGTTCTGACTATGTATATTTATGCCACCTGGGTATGTTGAAATGCATTCAAATTATAGAACACTTTTATTCTTGGCCAGAATGTTGCACAAATGAAACCATAATTCCATTTTATGTATAACCCAGTGGCTGAGGATAGCTGCCTGACTAAGAGACTTGTTCAATAACCAGATATCTCTGTTTTGATTTTGAAGTCCTAAATAGTTGGAGCTCAGGGTGTTTCAGAGATCATGGTTTCTTCTCCCCAGCTTCTTACAAATGGTGGGCTTGAAATTTCAATAGTCCTGAAGCTCTTCTCTAAAATTCTCAATTTCTTTCTATAAGGTATCATGAAAATGTCACCTTTGATTCATTTTTGTTGCTTCCCTTATTAATTTTATTAGTGTAACTAATTATACAGTTAGTATTTTATTGGTACAGTAATATTTATAATTTTGAAGACATGGCCTCATGTCCAAAGATATAAATTAAGTTGGTAAGTAGTCAATATGTTTCTAAGAGGCTTCTAAATTAAGGTGTAATCTCAGGACCAGACCTTTACTTTCAGTGTGCGCTAATCACATGTTTCATCTTAATCCTATCCTTTGGATTTGTCCAAATGTCCATGTGATCATGTTGCTTTCATTGTATTTAGTAACCTGCTAATGTTTAGAATAGAGGTGTATAGCTGGAGTAATGGGCATTTTGTTAACACCACTTTATGTTTATCTAATATTCATTTCTTGTTTTAGATAGTGTGAACATGCTAGCATTAAAATAGACTTTCTCTTCTTCACCTAGGAATTTTTGCATTCAAGTGCTCAAGAGCTGAAGAGATATTTAATTTGCTGCAGGATCTGATGCAGTGTAATAGTATCAGTGTGGTGGAGGAACCTGTTGTCATTACAAGGAATGCAGCTGAACTGGAACTATCCCGGACTCCCCAGACACCCGATAGTGAGACCATCTTACAAACCGGAAGAGATAGGGGAATGTTAAGCTTTACTCTAGACCAGGGGTGTCAAACTCAAGGCCTGTGGGGCCATATCCAGCCCACGATGTCAGATCTGGCCCGCAGAGCCGTCCTGGAAAATGTAAGGGGCTGACCTGCGTCTCTTTGGCCTGGTCTACCCAATGCAAAGAGGAAACATTGGGGCAGCATGGCTTCAGCCCAGTCTTCCCAGTGCAAAGAGGAAACATGCCAGCAGCTT